GATTCTCAACAGCTTTTTTTATAGTTATCCTCTGTTTGACATATGTGACTCTTTTCCTGTTTTGTTTTCTTTATATTGTCTTTTAGTTCTAGATAGTAATCTGGTGATTTGATTTTTTTTATTTTGTTTTGTTTTTAACAAATCTGTCATCAGACTTTAATATTGTGGAACAGAAGGTTTTTATGCACTTCTTGCCCATGAAAAAGACAGTGCTCCGTTGATTCTGAGTGTTGCCAAGTATGTGTATTTTCTTGCCATATAAGTAATATTTCTTTGGTAATCTCCACTCAGGCTAAATGTCTTGCTTGTGCCTCAGTTCCTGGTCTCCTCGCTCCGACTGCGGTCTCTTGGCTCTGCCTGCGAAGCGTGTGTGTGCATGTAGCCCATGGAGATGATAATGATTTAGGTGACAACGTATTAGCGAGGTATAGAACGGTTTTCTTGTGTTCAGGCGTTTGGTTTCCTGAGGAGGGGAGACAGCATCGGACATGGGCTGCATGGTGTAAAACCAGAGATTAAGATCTGTAGTATGATCTGCAAAACACATGCCATAAAGCTATAAGAGTTGTACTGGACTCAGTGTATTATTGGAACAGTAGGACCTTACAAAGATTATGTGGAAAACGCTGTTACAGAAGCATGAGTAAGCCAGGCTCCTTAGGAAGCTTGGCCCTACCTCCTTTTCACTGAACCTAGCTGATTTGTTGTGAGGCTTTCCCAAAGGCCGACTGAACTAGAGCGGTGAATGATGAGAGCTAACTGGCTGAAACAACCTGGAGCAGATAACAATGATGCTAATGTGTTGTTGGAGGCATTCTGTTCAGTGCTGACAATCTGATTGCATAAAATAGTTTGTCAATCTCAAATTCAACAGGTTCCTAAAACTTCCTTCTCTTTCTCCCTTTTTCAGACACCGTCAGAGGCCATATGTGTGTTTTTCTGCTTAATCTGTGAAGGCATTCACAATTGTTTCACTCGCACGCGGAACTCATCCCAGTTCCCCCCTGTTGCCTGCCTGCAAGTGGGGATCCATCCAATGTAGTTTCTGGTCCTGCCCACAAAAAAATTTCTTAAGCCCATGTTTTCCGACAGTTGCATCTCTTTCATTGATGGTATCACTGAGAGGTGCAGGATGTGCAAGGCTGGGATTAGTGCAGGCAGCTTAGCACCATTTATTGAAGTTGGCTGTGCTGTCCC